TAATTTTGACAACTACCCATGTAAACGCTCATGCAGACCATTTCAGCCCATTGGTACAACAGGTCTACGATGTGTGCAAGCGGACGGACCTGCATTTTGCCCCGACGCTTTCGCAGAGAACAGGTACCTCTGCTCCATGATGGGTTTACAGTCTTGAGGCGGTTAAAACTCGAAACCCTAAACCCTAAACCGGTTTAGGATTCAGGGCTACACCTAGGGCTTTAAGACCATGGGCTTAACGTTTAGGGTGTATAATTTTCCAGGGTCTCGAAAGGCGGTCCATGTAAGAACCGCAAAAAGGTATGGCTTCTGAAGGCGTTGAACGAGTTAGGGCTAAGGATTGGGTTTGGGGTTTAGAGTTTAGGGTTTAGGGTTCAAGGATTTTAGGGGTTTAGGGTTTTAGGGGTTTAGAGTTTAGGGTTTAGGGTTCAAGGGTTTTAGGGGTTTAAGGGTTTAGGGGTTTAGGGGTTAAGGGTTTAGGGTCAAGGGTTTAGGGTTTAGAGTTTAGGGTTCAGTACCTCACCAGATTGATTAAAGATGATGTGTAGGCCGCTAGCACCCACGATTTCCTCGCTCGTGACTAGAAGCTGGTACTCAACACAGCAAGACGTGGCTTTCGACTTGACGGGGCCTAAACCCTAAACCCTAGCAAACAAATCCGGATCCCCTGCAACCGAGCCGGGGCACTGCCTTCTCTTCGCTTAGACATGAGGGTGGAGACGGAGCAATGTCCAGACGACGTCGAGACCCAGATCGTTGCGAGATCCAGATCCAGATCAAGATCCGGTCGTCGAGCATGCTTGGTGCAGGCGGATGGCCCTGACGCTGAGGGCTGCCCTGGCTCAATACCAGAGTCGCCGGTGGTGCCTGGCAGTCCACCGGAACTGTATGCCAGGCCGACGGTTGTTGAGGACAGTGGGGGCGAAGTGGTGCAGGCGGAGTGTGAAAGCGGACAAGGTGGGTTCCGTGCCTTGCAGTTCTCCGACTATGAGCAGTTGTACGGACGATGGACACGGGGAGGCTTGGCGGACAGTGAGATCCGTGACATCGGCGGGGAGGAGCTCCTTGACCTCATGGAGGCCCAGAAGGCTCTGGACCAAGGTCCGGGAGAGAACACACAGCAACTGCTGGGACGGGGGACGAGCGCCGCTCCTTCCTCCTCGGAAGACCAGGTGACCTTCGTGCCAACCTCCACTACCACTACGACAGGGCTACAAGGGGTGGATACGCTTTCGGAAGGGTCTATGGGCATGGCTGAGGGATATGTCAGCATGGAGCAGTTTGAGGACTTGGTGGCCATGAACATGGGTGACCTGGTTGAGAGAGCTCTTGAAGGTGTGTCCACTGACGAGGAGTAGGGTGAGTGTTGCCGACCTGCTGTACTGAGTGAGCCTGAGAGTCGCAAGTGATGTCGGAAGCCGGTTTTCTAAGGTGGAGCAGTGTAACAACACCTCACTGTTCCTTGCTCTCCCCGAATGGGGATTCTTCTGTATGTTTGATCATGCGGATGAAAAGGGGCCTTAAAAACAAAAAAAACCCTAAACCCTAAACCCTAGGAAAAAAAGCTAGCTCGCTTGCAAGAGAACTGGTTCTACGGGGAATGCAGCTCAGGCATGCCTTGACCTATGTGAAGAATAATCACAGAATTCGGCTCTATAGTATGACACCAAAGATGTAGGGTTTAGGGGTTTAGGGGTTTAGGGGTTTAGGGGTTTGGGGGTTTGGGGATTTGCGGTTTAGCCAAGGTTTGTGGTATCATTGCCATGAACCAGCTCGGAAGTCGTTGCAGCAGTTCCTAGGTGTGTTTCAGCCTTAAGCAAGAAGCCTGCCCCTAAACCCCAAATCCTAAAAACCCTAAACCCTGAACCCTAAACCCTAAACCCTAAACCCTAAACCTTAAACCCTACCCTAAACCCCTGACTTCGCCGAAACCCGTGCCAAAAAGGGTCTCTTGCAGTGGAGACCCTCTCGGAAGCTAAGCTGAGACGGCTGAAGCCCAGAGCCCTGAGCCCAAGTACAGTGCAATATATATATATATATATTAGGGTTTAGGGTTTAGGGTTTAGGGTTAGGGGCCTGAATGATTACCTATACTACGTATTATTTTTGGGGCTCCTTGTTATAACTATAGTATAATAGAATCCAGCGCCCTTTTTCCAAGTGTTCAGGCCCCTATATTACAGCGCAGCCCCCCGGACGACATGGCTTCTTTCATCCCCAAGCCTAGAAGCCCAAACTCCTAAAATCATATCCGGGAGCCCTCCAGTTCGCATCTGTACATGAAGGATCATGGCTTAGGGTTTAGGGTTTACGGTTCGGGGTTCATGGGTTAGGGTTTAGGGTTTAGGAAGGATCAGGGGTAGTAGTTGTAAGCAAGCCTTCCAGCCAACCCAATAGGACTGCAGCTCAGCGTGAGATATAGTCGAGGGTTCATGGATAGCTGCTAGGCTGCTAGGGTGGCAAGTAGCTCTCTTGTGGGTACACCTAGCTCCTGCTAACGTCCCAAACCCCAAACCTTGCTAAAAGGATCGGGGGACTTAGTCAGTAGTCTAGTGGTCGGAACCACTACGAACGGTATACCCTTAAGATTCCCTTATTATTCTTTTTTTATAACATACCCCAAAACCCTATTCTAAATATGCCCTAGCTTCTTTCTCAGTCCCTTGTCGCTGCAAGTAGACCCAACATCCTCCTGAGTCCGAAATCCTTCAAAAGCTAAGCCCTGAACCCTACACCTGAATCTAAACCCCATATAGCAAGCCCTACAAACTCCGAAACCCGAAACCATAGCCCCTAAACCCTAACTTGCACTCTTCATCCCATATGGGTAGTTCTCTAATTGTCCCTTTCTAGGTCCCAAATAGTACGACACCCTTTTCAAACGGACCCTAAACGGGACCCTAATTTAGAGAACTACCCAAACAGAACCCCTAGTATAGTACCCTCATAAAAACCCCCATAGAAACCCTTATAGATCCCTTCAAAGAACCCTAAAAGGGAACCCTATATAACAAAGCTAAAGCCCTAAACCCTAAACCCTAACCCTAAACCCTAAACCCTGAACCCCTAAGATCAAAGCCCCACGCAACAAAGCTAAAGCGGCCAACGCCCTCAAGGCAATCGCGTCTTCCTGAAGCGCCGGGATTCCCAGACCCAGAACTGCAGGGTTTGGGCTTTAGGCTGTAGGCTTTAGGGTTTAGGGTTTAGGGTTCAAGGCTTTAGGGTTTAGGCTTTAGGCTTTAGGGTTTAGGCTTTAGGGTTCAGGGTTTAGGGAGTATTTGGGGTTCCATAGGGTTTGCTCGAAGGTTTAAACAGGGCTCCTAAGGTTAGAAGTATTGGCCCCTAATATGGACCCTTAGTCCTTTCTAGGGACCCTTAAGGGTACATATAGGGTATATAGTAGGTGTATAAGGATCCCAGAATCAAGGGCCCACACTAGGGGCCCATGGGTTCAACCTTAGAGGGCTTCATAGGGTGTGCCCTCGATTGAAGCCTTTACTTTAAATCAAATCAGGGTTCCTAACCCTAAACCCTAAACCCTAAACCCTAAACCCTAAACCCTAAACCCTAAACCCTAAACCCTGAACCTGGATCTTTCTTGATGCAAGGCCTTTGGAGTCACTTCAGACATGGATTGGGAGGAACGGCGCTTCTCTCTCGTCGTCGTTGGGTTTAGGGCCTCAGATCTGGGGCTTAGGGCTCTCGTCTTCACGCCTCCTGCTCTTGAAGGACTTTAGGAGGGATTAGGGTTTAGGGTTTAGGGTTTAGGGTTTAGGGTTTAGGGTTTAGGGTTTAGGGGGGACCCCTAATAGGGACCCTTAATCCCATCACCTTACACAACCATTGTACAGTCCGTATATACCCCTTATATAGCCAGGTAGTCTCCATATTATCCACAATAACCTACAAGGGTCCCTATTAAGGGTCCCTCCTAAAGCCCTTAGATGCTCGGGAGATCTGCATTTCTGTGTGAGACATGACAGATGGACTGTAGAGACCAGTGGAGCCATGACTTCTCATCCTAGGTTCTGTCGACCACCCGGGCAGACGGAAAGCACCCTAAACCCTAAACCCTAAACCCTAAACCCTAAACCCCAGACCTTAAATCCTAAACTCTAAACCCTAAGCCTTAAAACCCTAATCCCTAAACCCAAAAGCGTAACCCTAGACTAGCTTTCCGTGGGATCTGAGGAAATCAGGCTAAGTTCACAGAAGCAGGAGCGCATCTTTTGCCTGCTATACACATCCCTAATTATAGTCGTCTTCCTTAACAGCGGCCGATCTCTAAGCTCTTTCCAAGGCCCCTATAAAAAAATCCGTATAAATAAAGCAATCTAGGGCTCTCATAGAGCTTTCCTTCAGATTTGAGCGTTCTGAATGCCAGGGGAGGACCAGCAGACTGTGTATAGCTTCAAGCTCCGGGGCGCCTACAACAAGATCGTCAACTTGTGCCTAGGCTGAAGGACTTCGGGTTTAGCGTTCCCGAAACATTAAACCGGGTTCAATGTTTTGAGGTTTCAGGGTTTAGGGTTTTCAGATTTTAAGGTTTTGTTTTTGGGGTTAGGTATGTCAGGTGCAGGTTTTGGGCTGTAGACGGAGCCAACACCTAGAACATACGTACCGTAGACCCAGTCCAAGGCGAAACCCTGTACCTTTTGTTCCAAAGAGACCGCGAACACTTTCTTGCGGAACCGGGTCGAACTAGGATGATCCTCTCCTATTCCGAATAAAAGGCCCCTCCCCCGTAAAGCTGCACATAATCCCCTAACAAGCCTACTGAAACGCAAGTAAAGCCCTACACAACTCTGTTTTGAGGCGGGGGGGCTGGGGGGCTTTTCGTTTTTCTTAATGTGGGCAGGTGTGTTTTTCTAATTCTACAACAACAACCGCAAGCTTGACTACTGAGTTCCCGATCCCTAAACCCTAGACCCTAAACCCTAAACCCTAAACCCCTCCTTAAATCCGAAACCCTAAGCCCTAAACCCCTAAACCCTAAACCCTAAACCCTGGGAGGGCCAATGAGACGCCTCAGGTCCGACGATGAGAAGGCTCGGGGCATCTGCGCCTGCTCTGCCGGGTGCCTTCGCTCAGAGGAGGATTAGGGTTTACGGTTTAGGGTTTAGGGTTTAGGATTTAGGGTTTAGGATTTAGGGTTTACGGTTTAGGGTTTAGGGTTTGGAGTTTAGGGTTTAGAGCTTTGGGATTTGGAGCTTAGGGTTTGGAGTTTAGGGTTTAGAGTTTAGAGCTTAGGGTTTGGAGCTTAGGGTTCAGAGTTCAGGGTTTAGAGTTTAGGGTGTTGAGTTTAGGGTTTGGAGTTTAGGGTCTAGAGTTCAGGTTATAGAGTTTAGGGTTTGAGCTTAGGGTTTAGAGTTCGGGGCTTGAAGTTTAGGGTTTAGAGTTCAGGGTTTAGTGTTTCGGGTCCCATACACCCCAGATCGGGTTTCGGGTTTAGTCTAAGGTTTAGGATTTCAGGCCCACAGAAACTTGCAGCCCCAGGGTTTGGGTTCAAGGCTTTGCGTCCTTACCAGTCCTTCCCAGGACCCTTAAGTGAGCTCCATAAAGGCAATCGCTGGGACCCCGCGCACCAATCGAATCCCAACTTGGCACGGTCGAACTCAACCTGACAATCGAAGTTTCAAACCCTAAATTAAGTGTTAGGGGTTAGGGGTTTAGGGGTTTAGGGGTTTAGGGTTTAGGGATTGTAGGGTTTAGGTTAAGGAGATCCCCAAAACCGAATCCTTAAACCACCGCCCCCAAGTCAAAAAAAAAAGAAGCAAAAGACCCCCAAACCCCAGAAAATCCCCAAACCCTAAACCCTCAACCCTAAACCCCACAAAGCCCAAGCTCCTCAGGAACCACGCGCAAGGAGTGGCCTTCTCTGCCAGCGCGCTGAACCTCTCGGTCACTCGCTGGGGGAAAGGCTTTCAGGTTCTCGCGCTTTCGAGGTTTCGTGTTTAGAGGATAGGGGTTTGGGTTAAGGGTTTATGGTTTCGACTTCGGGGGTTAGGGGTTTAGGGTTTAGACTTTAGGGGTTAGGGGTTTAGGGTTTAGGGCTTTGCGCCTGTATAGCCCCCGTTTCAGGTATCCGTAACAGGTGGTATCGGTTTTTGTGGAAGTCTAGGCTCCGGGCTTCGCTCGGATTTCAGGGTTTCTGGTTTAGGGCGTGGGATTTGAGTCATCGTTACGTTTCAGGTGGACAGTTGAGTTTTCGGTGTGAGGGTTCACGTTCAGGCTGTCGGGTGCTGCAAAACGCATATACAAATTCCAGAACCCTAAGCCCTAAACCCTAGAAGCACTAAACCCGAGACCCGAAACTCTGAACCCTAAACCCTCACCTCAACTCGAGTTGTACCCGGAC